TTCCTCCGTCAAGTTCCTCCTAATCCTCCTATACGTGCAAACATATGATATTTGTCCTTCTCTGCCTGACTTATTTCGCTCAGCATAACACCCTCAAGGTCCATCCATGTTGCTACACATGGCCAGATTTCATTCTTTCTCATTGCCAACCATCATGCTTTTAAAGTCCTCTGTAAGCCTCCCTCTGATTGTATTCACCTTCCCAAGAGGCAACCGCTCTCTTTGACTTGGTATTCATGATTTTCTTGCTTTCCTTTGTGATTTTTACCATCAATATATATGTACCCTACATATACATTTTATTTTGATGTTCTTAAATGTTGACATATGAATTTTACCCCATGTATTTGACTTAACAAAAATATGTGAATAATTCATATTTTCATTCCATTTTTAAACCAGAGAGCGGCTCCTGCTTTAACCCTGTTGTAGGTATCTATTGTTGAGTAATAGTCATTACAAAACTTGTGGTTTAAAAAACATTAATATTTTATTATCACTTAGCCAGATAGGTTTTTTGTTTGTTTTTGTTTTGTGTTGTTGTGTTGTTGTGATCTCTGATCCACACACTATTTCAGACTGGCTCAGTCTGGAATCATTGGAAGTTTCATTTGATTACATATCTGATATCTTAGAAGGGAACAGTTAAAGAGCCTGTTGCTGAAGGAACTCTATTTCAGTCTCCATGTGATGACTTCACATGTCCTCCCTATGTATCAAGATGAAGAGATACAAATTTCCTTCAGGATGTCTCAGGCTTCAAAGACATCTATCCCTAAAGAGAGAACATCAGGCCAAAACCATACTGTCTTTTATGATGTAGTCTTGGAAACAAAGCAATGTCAACTCTGCCTCATTTTATTCATTCAGGCATCCACAAAGCTTCATTCAGCTTCAAGAGATGAAGTAGGTCCTCCATAGTGATGGTGAGTAGGTAGGAAGACCACATGAGACAGAATATATTGCCATGGCTAATTCTGGAAAGTGTAATACACTGCAATTTGTCTTCTGCTCAAAACAATTTATATCCCTCTCACCAGCACAGTGAAATCAACCTTTCCCTAGGATATCTCATCTCTTGACTACATCAGATTTAGGCTTGAAGTCCAGGATCTCATAATATATGTAAGGTTTATGTGTAGATGAGTCTCTTCTCTTGCAATTAACTTTAAGTTAGATAATTGGTGTAATGACCTGTGTAAACTAAAGAAATTGATCTGCACTGCCCCCACCCCCATATACGAAACCAACATACAATAGTGGGACAGTCATGATAGTAATTATAGACCATTCCACCCAAAATAGTGAAAAAGATAAGCTACCAGAAGCCATTGATCCATAGTAATTCCAAATGATGTAGTTTAGAATTTATTTCATTAGGAGTAAATCCTACCATTTGGAAACAATTTATAGTGACTCTTAACTTCAACCTCTGGATTCTTGGTTCTTCTCTCTAAGTCATCCTTTCTTTGCCACAGAAATAACAATATTTAAAACTGAGTCAGTTTTCTCAGTGGTAATTCTAGGATCCAAAGACCTTTCCTGATTTTGTACAGTCTATCCATTTTAGTTCTAGTTGATGGTGTTCTGCCAACATAATTCTTTCTAAACTGCTGGTAGTTCCTATACTTCTTATTACGGTTTATGTTATAGACAAAAGCCACACCCCAAAATCTCTTCAAAATATGCCCTTTCTGTTTTGGATTTCCTATGAGGTTGTTATGTGACAACATCCTTAAGACTTCTAGAAATTCTATTGCTTAGGAGCACCTGGGTGTCTCAGTTGGTTAAGCATCCAACTCTTGATTTTGGTTCAGGTCCTGATCTCATGGTCATGAGATTGAGCCCAGAATCAGGCTCCTCACTAGACCTGGAACCTATGTTAAGATTCTCTCTCTCTCTCTCTCTCTCTCTCTCTCCTTCTCTTCCCCTTCCACACTCATGCTCTCTCTTTCCAAAAAAAAAAAAAAGAAATGAAATGAAAAGAGAAAGAAAGAAAGAAAGAAAGAAAGAAAGAAAGAAAGAAAGAAAGAAAGAAAGAAAGAAAGAAAAATTCTATTGCCTAACAAAAGATTTGTGAGACATGCTGTTAAGATCCTTGAATGGAATTCTGTTTATGCCACCTCCTTAAATCTTCCTGAGGTGTCAGTAAAAGCTTATATATCATATCTTGTCACATACCTTTTTTTATCTTTAAGTATAATTGACACACAATGTTACGTTAGTTTCCAGTATACAACTTAGTGATTTCACAACTGTATACATTATGCTATGCTTACCACAAGTGTAGCCACCGTCTCTCACCATGTAATGCTATTACAATATCATTGACTGTGTTCCTGATGCTGTGCCTTTTATTACTGTAACTTACTCATTCCATAACTGGAATCCTGTATTTAAAACCATTCTCCGTGACAGCACCCTGGATTTTATTTCTTCCCAGAAGCCATTTCTCAATTTTAACATTGAGAATATGATCATCACAATAAGAATTGGTTTTTGTAAGAGACGCTTGATGCAAATAAACTGAGAGTTGCTGTAGGAAGGCTGGTGGGGGATGGGCTAGATGGGTGATGGGCATTAAGGAGGGGACTTGTGGTGGGCATTGGGTGTTCTATGTAAGTGATGAATCACTAAAGTCTACTCCTGACGCCAATACTACACTATATGTTAACTAGTTTCAACTTAAATAAAAACTTGAAGAAGGAAAAAAAGGAATAAGAATCGGTTTTATTTTAGGTCCAGGCAGATCCTGGTGCCTTTCTGTCTACCAGTTACCTCACTGGTCATCTCTCTTCTCATATTTTAATAGTCAATAAGAAGACAATCAATTAGAAACTTCTTTCTATAGATCATCTGTTTTCATGGGTACTTTTCTATTTTCCATGTCAGTGCAGGTAACGGTATTGTTAAACTCTGTGTCACCACAGGCCAAGTGCCCATTTCCTATATGTCCTAAGATCACTGTCCTCACTTTTAATTTCTTATTGATGGTCTCCTCAAGACTCATCAGGCTTTTGCTAAGTTTCTTTCTTTTTTTTTTTTTTTAATGTTTAATTTCTTTCTAGGAGAGAGAGAGAGAGAGACAGCGTGAGCAGGGGAGGGTCAGAGAGAGAGGGAGTTGCAGACTGAAACAGGCTCCAGGCTCTGAGCTGGCAGTCAGCACAGAGCCCGATGCGGGGCTCGAACCCACGAACCGCGAGATCATGACCTAAGCGAAAGTCGGACGCTTAACCGACTAAACCACCCAGGCGCCCCATTTTGCTAAGTTTCTTTACGGCAGTTTTATTTTTTTTTTTCTCCTGCTACCTGGCTTGCAACCATTTCCACGTGTTTTAGCATCACTCCTCTTTCAGGTGCTGAAACAGCTTCCAGTTACTATTGTGGCGGTGTGCCAGCACAAATCTGAGTGATTCAAAATAACCACCTGTTTAATGATTATCTGTCATGATTTAGATGAGTGGCTGGGTTAGGTGGGTGGTTCTTACTCAGATTCCCTGGGGAAGTTGCAGTCAGTGCCTGGGGCTGGCATCTTCTGAAATCTCCCTACACATTGATCACCTTACAAAGAAACTCAAAACAGTTGAGGACAGGAATAATTGGGACTGCTTGAGCATTTCTGTCTGCCTTTTTACGATCTTTCCATGTGGTCTCTTCAGAGCCAGATAGAAACCGGATCAACTTCTACAACCTAGTATCAAAAGATGTTAAATGTAACTTCTACCATATTCTATTTCTTGAGCCAATCACAAGGCTTGCCCAAGTTAAAAAGAAGGAGAAGTAGGTCCCATCTCTTGACAAAGGACTAACAAAATTTTAGAAGAGCATAGGAGATCATAATTATTCTGAGCCATTAAGAAAACAACAACAACAATATGGAAGCACCTGGGTGGCTCAGTTGGTTAAGTGTCCTACTTGGGCTCAGGTTATAATCTTGTGATTCATGAGTTCAAGCCCCACATTAGGCTCTCTGCTGTGAACATGGAACCGGCTTCACATCCTCTGTCTCCCTTTCTCTGCCCACTTGCTCTTTGTCTCTCTTTCTCAAAAATAAAATAAACATTAAAAAAATACAATATGTCACAGATCCAATATGCTTCCCAAGTAAATATTACTCTCAAGATTTCACCTAAAGCCTTTCTTCCTGGGTCATTCTCTTCCTTCTAAATATTATCCTTAGAAGTATTTTTAGTAAAGAATAGCCTGATTTTCTTTGGTTGAAAATATTTATGTAATTCTCATACCTTAGAGA